CTTCCTATTCTAGAAGCATCCGAGATGCTCTCTGTAGGAAGTGCTTCACCTGGATTTGCCCTCAAAGCCTTTCCAAGAGGAAGGGCTCAAGGGCCCTGCAGATGGGAGTCAGGTAGATTTGTTGACCCAGGTCTACAAAGGAGTCTAAAGGAGTTTGCAAGGAGGCTGGCACTGGGAGCCCACCCTGCACTCTGCTTGGGCAGAGCAGGCGTTGATCCCCGTGGGCTGGGTTGGTGGGGCAGGTTACACAGTAAAAGACCCAGGGCTGGAATTCTGCCTCCGCTTCATAGAAGCTGTGCAACCTCTGACAAATCACTTAAACTTTCTGACCCTCGCTTGCCTCCCAGGCAAAATGAAACTAATAATTCCTTTTTCCCCTGTACACAGGGTTGATAAGAGGATTAAATAAAACGTGCATGTGATCTACATGTTTTCCTACACTTGGTGCTCTGGGGACACAGAAAGCATGTAAGACATGGGCCCTGCCACAAGGAGTTTGCATTCCAGTGGGGGAAAATGTACACATGATGGTCTGAACTCCTGATCACCCAGGAGATTATAGATAAAAGACAATTAGCTTTCTCTGCAGCTCCCCCAATAAGAATTGCTAATCAGCCTGCAGGCGTGGGCCATGTGCAAGACAGCCGTAAATGGTGATGGCAGGTGAGTGGGCAGCTCCCAGCTCCATCCTGGAAGGGGCTGTGTACTCAGCAAGGAGAGGCAGGACTTGTCTGGGCCTGTGCCATGCCAGGGAGTCAGAGGGACAGCATGAACAGGAGTCACCAACCCCTGCCTCTCCCTGGATCCCAGCACCCAGTTCTAGGCTCTGTGTCCACGAGAAATGAGCTCTGCCTCACCTAGATGGCCCAGCAGCCCCAGAGGCCAGGGGCGGGGAGCTGCCTGGAGTGGAGCTTTCTCAGTGGTTTCTGGGTCCCCTCTGTGTCATTGAGCGCTGACTCAGCACTTAGTACAGAGGTGTTGGAGGAGGAGAGAGAAGCCCTGGCCCAGGAGGCATCTGAAGGTTGAGGACAGGCTGGGGCCCTTCCTGTAGAGCCCTCTCCACCTGGGAACTGTCTTGGACTCACAATCATTTTGAGGTTTTGGTGCCACACCCAGCATGGCACCGTTTGAAGCTGTGACATGTGATCTATTTCAGCCCACAGCTCCCACCCACCCACTTTGCCCCGCTCCCCCAGCAGGCAAGCTTAGTGGGAACTTATTGAGTCCTAGGATCCAACTTCAACACCTTCTCTTCCTCCTCCTCCTCCTCCTCCTTCTCCTTCTCCTCCTCCTTATTCTTTGGTACCAGGGGCACTTACCACTGAGCCACAGTTTATTTTGAGACAGGGTCTCATGAAGTTGCTTAGCTCCCTACTAAATTGCTGAGGCTGGCTTTGAATTCACGCTTCTTCTGCCTCAGCCTCCCAAGCCGCTGGGATTACAGGCGTGCGCCACCACATCCAGCTCTAGGATCCAGGTTTTTTTGTGCCCTGAGAAGCCCTGTGGCTGGAGAACCTCCCAACCTGGGAGACATCCAGAGGTCTGTGTGCAACACAGCCAAACTGTTTAATTCCAACGACAGTCTTCCACATAAGGGAAGGGATGCTTGCAAGATCAAGTAGCTTTCCCAGGCTAGTAAGTGCTACAGCCAAGTTTTGGATCTATTTGCAGGTGGATCTGTTCTCTTGTTCTAGGTCTGGACAGGTCAGTGCCCTCTGGTACACCAATGTGCAGAAGCTTAGGTCCTGTTCATTGGCAGGGACCACTTCAGGACTCAGCTGCTTCTTCTCTGCCCCCATTGCACACCACAACCCACCCCCCACCATGGCCTGTCCCTGACCCCAATCCCTGGCTTAGGCAGCTAGGCTCCCCAGGCTTCCCATTGCACATGTGTGCTGGCGTGTGAGCACATGTGTACACGCGTATTTGTTTCCCCTGAATTTGACGTGTCAGCACACACACCCCTACGCAAACCTCTGTGCCTTTCAAGTCATGGTTGTTTTTTCCACCTTCAGAAATAGCTGCAGAGGAAAGTGGGAAGCAGTCGGAAGTAAACAGGCACGCTGCTCTCCAACTCAGGGAAGGGACCCTGCCTCCAGCTGCTCCCTCCCTAGCGTCCTGGAAGCCCAATGGAGTGGCCAAGAGCCCCTCTGGGGAGTTGAGAGGTTGGGAGCTTGGAGGCATGCTGTCCCTTCTTGCGAAAGTTCTGGGCTTTCCACAGCTCCCTAGTAAGGATAGCAACGGGCACCCGCCTCCTGCTGCAGCACCAGTGCACCCCAGGCCTCGGGGGCCCAAAGCGGGTTGGACCCAGACTTGGGGGCAGAGAAGCCGGTGTAACTGGCACAACCTCCAGACAGGTTGCTTCCTCTCTCTGGCTGGGTGCCAGCTACAGGGTTTGAGCCAAGGCCTTTGCCTCTTCTGAACCTCAGTTTCTTCATCTGCAAACTAAGGATGTGAAAGCTTATCATCTCTCAGGCATGTCATGAGGGTTAAGTGAAATGAGATATACAGGGTCTTCATAGAGTCCTGGCCAATCAATGGTAAGTGCCAACAGTGTTTGTGCGTTTCCCTGGTAACCTGGGACTGAAAGTCCACCTGGAATCGTCTCCACTTAGGAGTCAGACCAGGCTAAGAAGGAAGCATGGGGGTCTGACCTGCTTTTGTTTCCATCTTTGGTTCTAGGTCAAAGCTGAACCTGCCTCCAGGGTGGCCTGGCCTGGTCCTGGGGTCCAAGAGAGAACCTGGGTTGGTTATCCATAGCCAGGAGGCAGGAAGCAGCAGAGGCTTGGATTCCAGGTGGGGGGGATGAGCTCCTGGGGGAAGGGGCTTGAGTCCTATAATATGTACTCACTGAGGACCTGTCCCATGCTCCTGGCACAACAATTAGCACAACAGTTAGCAAGACAGGTCTCTAGTTGGAGAATACTTTGCACAGATGTGGTCAGGGCTGTGCCCGCCCGTGGGGAGCATGGACACTGTTGGAGCAAGAGGCCAGCCCCTCAGACTGCAGGGGTGGAGGGTTAGGAGAAGCTTTCTGTGGGAGGTGATGAGCTTGAGTCTTGAAGCACAAGTAGTTTTCTAAGAGACAATAAGAAAGAGTGGTGTGTCACTGTGACTTCAACCTGGAAGACTTGTGCACAGTGGGTGAGCAGGTGGTAACCAGAAAAGTCAGAAGTAGACTGGCCAGGCCAGGTCACAGAAGGTTTTCCCAGCAGGGTTCAGCCCCAGGCTACTGAACCCTACAACCTCCTGGGTCACTGTGGCAGCTTACTGGGAAGGGAAAGTCCCTGTCTCCAGGGTGGGAAATGGCCACAGAGAGAAGCAGTCCCCCCCCCACACACACACACACACAACCAAGAAAGCCTAAGCAGATTCCAGGCAGGACTAGCCCACCTCCCCGGCCTCTGTGGATGTGGGATCAGGGTCTGCTGTCGTTCTGCTACAAGGTCTGGGGAGCGCATTCCAGTTTTTATAAGCTGGGCTTGTTTCCACCACCACTTCCCACTTACAAAACCAGGGGGGTTTCTAGAAATTCTCATTTTATCTGGCATTTACCAAGTGAGCCAGGAAGGGAAGGAGGAAAGAGGTAAGAAAGGCTGAAGAATCCATTCCACATTTTTGTGGGCTCAGAATGACTCCAAAGACAGCAATCCCAGCTTATCCACTCTCCCTCCAGACACTGCCCCCTGACCCCTTCACTATCCCAGGGCTCTTCCTGGAGGACTCTGTCAGCTGCTAGCCAGGTGGTGGAAAAGGACATCAAAGCCTACGGACAGCAGGACAGAACCCAAGAAGCCTGGCTCCAGTGGTCCCTCTGCTGTCCCTTTGAGCAGAGACTGGAGGAAGGGGGTAGAATCTACTTCCTGCTGCTCCTTAACTCTCCACCCTCTCCTTCCAGGGCTGCCTGTGACGGGCCATGGCGATGAGGGAACAGGCCCAGACCCAGCGCACGAGGATGAGGAGCCACACCCAGGAGGGCACAGAGTGACACCCACCCATGCCCACATAGAATGACTGTCCTGGGACGGCAGTTCCCCAGGCCCTGGCAGGGCTGCTGACCCTCAACCTGCAAAACTCGAAAAGCAGGACTGGATCTACTTGTGGATGGTCCCCTGTCCCCCAGCGCCATCATGAGGCTCCTCGTAGCCCCCATCCTGATAGCTTGTGTGGCTGGTGCCACTGCTGCTGTGCCCGTGGTGCCCTGGCATGTGCCCTGCCCCCCGCAGTGTGCCTGCCAGATCCGGCCCTGGTATACGCCTCGCTCCTCCTACCGAGAGGCCACCACGGTGGACTGCAATGACCTGTTCCTGACGGCGGTGCCCCCGGCGCTCCCTGCAGGGACCCAGACTCTGCTGTTGCAGAGCAACAGCATCAGCCGCGTGGACCAGAGTGAGCTCGCCTACCTGGCCAACCTCACAGAGCTGGACCTGTCCCAGAACAGCTTCTCGGACGCCCGTGACTGTGACTTCCGGGCCCTGCCCCAGCTGCTGAGCCTGCACCTGGAGGAGAACCAGCTGGCGCGGCTGGAGGACCACAGCTTCGCGGGGCTGGCCGGCCTGCAGGAGCTCTATCTCAACCACAACCAGCTCTACCGCATCGCCCCCAGGGCCTTCACGGGGCTCAGCAACCTGCTGCGGCTGCACCTGAACTCCAACCTGCTCAGGGCCATCGACAGCCGCTGGTTTGAGATGCTGCCCAACTTGGAGATCCTCATGATTGGTGGCAACAAGGTGGACGCCATCTTGGACATGAACTTCCGGCCGCTGGCTAACCTGCGCAGCCTGGTGCTGGCGGGTATGAGCCTGCGGGAGATCTCTGACTATGCCCTGGAAGGGCTGCAAAGCCTGGAGAGCCTCTCCTTCTATGACAACCAGCTGGCCCGGGTGCCCAGGCGGGCCCTAGAGCAGGTGCCTGGACTCAAGTTCCTAGACCTGAACAAGAACCCGCTGCAGCGGGTGGGCCCCGGAGACTTTGCTAACATGCTACATCTCAAGGAGCTGGGGCTGAACAACATGGAGGAGCTGGTCTCCATTGACAAGTTTGCCCTAGTCAACCTCCCCGAGCTGACCAAGCTAGACATCACCAACAACCCGCGGCTGTCCTTCATCCACCCCCACGCCTTCCACCACCTGCCCCAGATGGAGACCCTCATGCTCAACAACAATGCTCTCAGTGCCTTGCACCATCAGACGGTGGAGTCCCTGCCCAACCTGCAGGAGGTAGGGCTCCACGGCAACCCCATCCGCTGTGACTGTGTCATCCGCTGGGCCAATGCCACGGGCACCCGTGTCCGCTTCATTGAGCCACAGTCCACCCTGTGCGCTGAGCCCCCGGATCTCCAGCGACGCCCAGTCCGTGAGGTGCCCTTCCGGGAAATGACGGACCACTGCCTGCCCCTCATCTCCCCCCGCAGCTTCCCCCCCAGCCTCCAGGTGGCCAGCGGAGGGACCATGGTACTGCACTGCCGGGCGCTGGCCGAACCAGAACCTGAGATCTACTGGGTCACTCCAACTGGGGTTCGACTGACACCGGCCCATGCGGGCAGGAGATACCGGGTGTACCCCGAGGGGACCCTGGAGCTGCGGAGAGTGACAGTGGAAGAGGCAGGGCTGTACACCTGTGTGGCCCAGAACCTGGTGGGGGCTGACACTAAGACAATCAGTGTGGTGGTTGGCCATGCTCCCCCCCAGCCAGGCAGGAATGAGGGACGGGGACTGGAGCTGCGGGTGCAGGAGACCCACCCCTATCACATTCTGCTCTCTTGGGTTCCCCCACCCAACACAGTTTCCACCAACCTCACCTGGTCCATCGCCTCCTCTCTCCGGGGCCAGGGGGCCACTGCTCTGGCCCGCCTACCCCGGGGCACCCACAGCTACAACATCACCCGCCTCCTTCAGGCCACAGAGTACTGGGCCTGCCTGCAAGTGGCCTTTGCTGATGCCCACACCCAGTTGGCTTGTGTATGGGCCAGGACTAAAGAGGCCACTCCTTGCCACAGAGCCCTTGGGGACCGGCCTGGGCTCATAGCCATCCTGGCTCTCGCTGTCCTCCTGCTGGCAGCTGGGCTCATGGCCCACCTTGGCACAGGCCAGCCCAGACAGGGGGTGGGTGGGCGGCCTCTCTTTCCAGCCTGGGCTTTCTGGGGCTGGAGTGCCCCGTCCATCCGGGTGGTGTCTGCACCCCTTGTCCTGCCTTGGAATCCAGGGAGGAAGCTGTCCCGATCCTCAGAAGGGGAGACACTGTTGCCACCGTTGTCTCAAAATTCCTGAAGCTCGGCCAGTTCTCAGCGGTAGAGAAATAACTAGGACTACTTTTTATCAAAAGGGAAGCGATCTGGGCCAGATGCCCTGCCAGGAAAGCGGCAAGGGCCCACGTGCTTGAGGCCTGGCAGCTGGACCAGGACACGGGGGCTCTGTGGCTCCCAGGGGTTCTCCTGAGGCCTCCAAAATGTTGCTCTTATCTGCTGGGGTCCTCTGCTGCCATTCATGAGGGACATGTCCAAGGAACAGGAAGGACTCTGGCTAGAGCCTCCCACCTCCCCATTATCTACATGCCCAGAGGCTGCTGGGCCTCTGCTTGGCTTTCCCCTGCCTGTGTCCCCAGGCCCTGGCCCACAGGATACACCCCTTCCTCTTCTCCTTCTTTGTACAGTCTCAGTTGCTTGCTCGTTCCCCTCCTGGGCAAGGGCTGAAGGAGGCCTCTCCTTCCCATCTTGGGGGATCACCCCAAAGTGGAAGTGACCCCAGCTGGGCCTGAAGGACATTTGGGGAGAGGGATGCCCAGGAACGCGTCATCTAGGCAGCCTGGGCTCTCTGGCGCTGACTTTCTATAGGCGATTTTGTACCTTTGTGGAGAAATGTGTCACCTGCCCCCAACCTGATTCACTCTTTTCTCCTGTTTTGTAAAAAATAAAAATAAACAATCATAATAACAACAATGATAAGGGATAGGGGGACAAAAATGAAAAGAAAAGCACCCTTTGCATTCTGAGCGCAAAGGAAGAGCTCTCTGCCCTGGGATCTCTTCAAAGGCTGACAGTGATGGGGGTGGGGAGTTTTTCCTTTTCAGTTGAATTCTGGTCTCTGGGTCTGCTCCACCCCCAGAGAGTCCCTTTAGCTATGAGCAGGAGAGTTAGGGAAGAGGGACAAAGAGCAGGAGAGGCTAATGATGTCCAGCAAGGAAGAGAAGGAGGAAGATCACACTGGAAGCTAGGAGAGGGGTGGAAGAGAAAAATGGAGACACACATAAAGATGCAGAGAGAGAGAGAGAGAGAGCGGAAATTTCCATCACCAAACATGGTCCCCGCTTCTTCTCTGATAAGCAATTAACATGCCAGTGCATAGGAAGCACTTCCCTGCCTATTTCTAATTAAACAAACCCAAGAGGCAGAGTCATGCAGAGAATTGCAAATCATCAAGACAGCGAGAACTTTGGCTAGCTGGGGCAGGAGGGGGAGTGGGGTGAAGAGGATTTGAGGAGGGGAAGACTGTGGGATAGGAAATTGCTGCATTTATCTTTCCTTTCCATTTCAGCATAATTTGCAATGAACTTGGTCTGCTTTTGTGTGTGTGGTGTTTTGTTTTGTTTTAACGGATTTGACTCCTGACAACCCCATGTGAAGAAGAACATCTGTTGGGAAGCCAACTGAGCCAAGGGCAGGGGGGCGGCCATGGGCCAACAAGAGGGTAACGCCAGAGCCCAAGGCTCCTGGGTGACCGTGCTCTGTTTCTGAGACAGGCTGGGAAAGGAATGGGTTTCCCAAGACTGAAATGATGTGACTGTGAGCTTTAGGGTCCCCCTGTGATAGAGAAAACATGTGGCAGACTTGTTGGAAGCCAATTCTAAACCACCACGACTGCAAATGTATACACAGATAGATGTCAGACCAGGGACAGACAAACATCAGGGTCCACAGACCTAGAACATGATCACTCACCAAAGCCAGAGGGAGAGGCTGAGGCAGCATCCATAATCACCAAGAGCAGGGATCTGGAGACCATTAGCAAAGGGCTGTTTTAGAAGGTTCCTTCCTCCTGGGCAGGACTGCCATACTTAAACCTGCAGTGGAGCCCCCTGTGGGACTTGGTAAACACAGAAGAGCCACATCCCAGCCCCAGACTCGTTCATCTACAACAGACGGGTGGGGCCCAAGAATTGGCATTTCTAACAGGTTTTCGGGTGATGCTCAGACCGCTAGAGTGGGGACAACACTTTGAGAATCTCTGCTGGCCTGTCTGCAGTGGCTAGAATTTTTGTCACTTGCTCTAGGCCTCGGCTTTTTTTATAGACAGCAGAAGGGAGTTGGGACAGTCCCTCTGCCCCTTCCCACTCAGCCTCCATTTCAATGACACCCATTCACAGATGCTCTTCTAAGGCATATGGTCTTCAGGCAAGGGTGCAGATCTTTCCACATCTATCCATGCTCCCTGTCCACTTGATCACCCAATAGACCCTCCTGCCCCCTCCCAGGCTGCATTCCAGATAAGCTTTGGAATCATCCAATCCACAACCTACCGTTAGCTGGAGCTCTATAGGGAAGAGGTGGGACAGGGCGGCACCAATCATAGAGAGCCAGAGTCGAAAGTCACCGTCTCTTTTTCTTTAGGACCATCCATCAGCAGATGACACCTTTCTTGGCATGGAAAATCAAAGTGCTTTTCCCCTAAATAAGCATCCAGAGCCCCGTAATGCTCCTGAATCTGCACACCCACTGCCACCCAAAGAGCCCTGGACTGGGTCATAGCAGCCTAAGAAGTGCTCCCAGCAGCTTTAGAGTCCCTTTAGGTCCCTCTTAACTCAAAATGCTTGTAAATGAGCCTGTGGTTGGATAGACATCAGACCAGGGACAGAGATTGGGAGTCCCCAATCCCCCAGACCATTTTCTGCCTCTGGTCTATCCCTGTTTCCCTCAGACGCCTCCCTTAAAGATAGGAAACCAAGAAAAGCTGTGAGCTCCTGGGGCAAGGGAGAAGTCACTCCACCAGGAGGATGATGCGACTCTGGCTCCCCCGGCCCCAGGCCCTGCTGCTTCCCAGCCGCCATGTGGCTCACAGCTGCTTGAAATGAATCTCTGCTTCTGGTGGAAAAAGTCATTATGGGGATGTATTCTGTCTCTTAATCGACTCCACAGTCCTGAACCGATTGGCTACTCCAAGGAACTAAGATAGGGGAGGTGGGGAAAGAAATGACCTCTTTTCTGCTAGAAGAGGAAATGGTGCTGTAGGGACAGCCAGCCGAGAGGAGGGAGGAAAAGGTACTTGGTGGGGTGCTGTGTCCTGGAATTGCTAGAAATGGAACGGACACAAGTGATCCGCCTCTCTCCTGGTACAGAGCTGGACCTGGGGCCCAGGCGTGTCCCCCAGCAGGGAGGACAGCGAGACCGTCCTCTGACCGCCTCATAGCTCTGAGTGTCTATTAATACAGCCAGAGGTAGCATCTGCAGTCTTAGCTTTCACAGTAGACGGAGCATGTGGTCGACTACATACTTGGCTTACAACAAGCAAAATCCGATTAAGCCTGGTCTCTGTGCATTTGAGATGACTGTTTTTTACCGGGTGTGGTGACACATGCCTTGTAATCCCCGTGATTCAGGAGGCTGAGGCAGGAGGAGGACTGCCAGTTCAAAGTCAGCCTCAGCAACTTAGTGAGACCCTAAGCAACTCAGCAAGACCCTATGTCTAAATAAAAATATAAGAAAGGGCTGGAGTTTTGTCTCAGTGGTTAAGCACCGGTGGGTTCAATTCTTGGTACAAAAAAAAAAAAGTGGAGGGCCCTGTTTTTTCTTAAATCTTACATAGAAAACTATTTCTGTTGGATTTTAGGTCTCTACTTAGAGCCTATCATTTCCATCTATTGAGATGATTTCAAAACACAGCCTAGATGTTGGGCATTTCCCTCTCGAGTACATGCCACTGGCAAACTCCATTCTGCCTCCCGTGTTCTCGTCCACAACCCCAATAGATTGTGGAGACAGCTCGATGGCTCTCTGCGGCAGCCTTCCCACCAGCCTGACATGGGTCCATTAATCAACACGTCTGGCTGCTCAGCCAGCTACAAACCACCTAAATATACTATCTAGCAGCCTACATTTCTGCATCTCATCTGCAGGGCTGTCAAGGCAGACTCCGTGGGAGGCTGTGCCAGAAAGAGGATAGAGTGAGATTGTGCCATTCCTGGGAACTCTCAGTCTAGACATCCATCGTACCGTGGAAGTAGGTGAGACTGGCTGGTCCGGTGTAGGGGACCCGTTGGGACTTTCCTGGTTTTAGCACTGAAAGTCCCTTGTTTCAGGAACCCTCTCAGTCCTGGGAACCTGGGACGATTGGTCACTCCAAGCCAGGGAGCTCTCTAAGTCCGATGCTGCCATCTCTCTCCCTCCCTCCCTCCCAAGCATCAAATAGTTGATGAACATGACTATGTGGTGGGCACTGGTCTGCGGCAAAAATTTCCGAGTTCAGAAACCTTGCATTTTAGTGAGGAGGAGACATAAGTTAAAATGTTCAATATATTAAATCATGAGAACTATAGAGAAAAATTCAAGTCAAAGATGAGGAAGGGGGGTTGTTTACATAGGATGATAGGAAAGGCTTCATCGAGAACCTGACGTTTGGTCAAAGACTTGGGATAGTGAGCCAAGCAGTATCTGGGAAAAGAACTCCAGGCCAAGAGAATGGCAAGGGTGAAGGCCAAGAGCAGGAGACTGGTTGGGTAGAGCAAGAGAGGCTGGGGAAGAGCATCTGCCGTGCTCGAGGTCAGAGCAGCCGCAGCCACGATCCTCTTGGGTCTTGCTGGCCACCTAAAGACTTGGCTGTTCTTCCAGGAAGACAGAAAGCCGCTGGAGGGTTCTGAGTGGATAGGGCATGATTCGACCTACGGGTTCCCTCTGGTTGCTAGACAGAGAACAAAGCCTGAAGGTTTAGGGTTCACAGGGGCAGAAGTGGGGACACCAGTTGGGAGGTGATCATAAGATCAGTTTATTCAGTCTCTTCTAGAACTTCACCAGGGCTGGACTCTGAACAAGCTCTTTGTTTTCTGAGTCTCTTCTTCCCCTACTTTAGCAAATTGAAGCCATGTTTACTCCTTCACTAGCTCTGGGCCCCCTCCGCCGCCCCCCAATTCTTCACAGTAGTTCATGTGGGTGGAGGGTCCACCATCGCCTGTGTGGGCTCAGCACCCTGCTCTCCCCCACTCTCCCCCAGTCTCCTCCAAGGCCTCAGAACAGAGACGGGAGCTAATTTAAGGTGGGGAGGAATGACCTTGATGGCCGATCACCTGTCCTTCTGCCTGCCCTGCATGATTCTTGCCCACTGCGCTATTCTTTGGCAGTTGCCCTTTGTTTGAGAGCATCTTCTATTTTTTGTGGGATGGCAAGAATGACTAACACTGGGCACTTACCATGTGCCAGCCACAATAGCAGGGATGTCACATGGACCCTTTCATTTCATCCACTATTACCTTATAAAGTGGACACTATTTTCTCTGCTTTGTAGATTTAAGTATTAGGGCTCAGAAAGGTTGAATGATATTTCTAAGGTCATATAGCAAATAGGTGGCAGAGTCAGTTTTCAAATGCTGTCAGTTCTCCTTTGTGGATTAGAATTAAGTCCATATCAGATTTTGCCCATGGGCTTCTTTGGCTTCTGGCCCTAGATGTCACCTGGGCCGGTCAAGAGCTCATCAAAGACAGAACTCTATCTTAACGTTGTCCTCTACTGTATTCAAATTTATACACATTAAAAGTATGTCAAAGTTTTCGAGAACACTGGAACTTGTAAACTCTGTGCATTAGAGAGCTCCTGTGCAGCTACTTTTATTTTTAGACACTGTCCTCTTTTTTTTTTTTTTTAATCCAGGATAATTTGTGACTTTATTGCCAGGACTTCAGTTTTAAAACCTCTTGGATGATATTATCTAGAAACCTTTCAACTCTAAAATTCTGCAGTGGTTTCCTCTGGAGGAAACCAATCCGTT